AGCCCCGGCACCACCTCCTGCCACGTCCCTTCCCACCCCCATCATCCATCCTGCGTGCCAGACCCCTGGCTGGTGGATCCCTCTCCTTCCTGGCTCACCAGTAGCTGGTGCCTGTGTAATGGTTGTCTTTGGTCTCTTCTCACTGGGAATTTTTTGTCCCTTCTTTCAAGGGCTACGTCTCTTTCCTCCTTTACAGGGATATCATGTCCCTCTTCCACGTGCATCTCCCTTGGTTTCCAGGCAGGCATGTCCTGCCCATCTCAGCCTTGGCTGGACAGGGTTGCCACCTCCTGTGCTTAGGGGTGCCCCTGGGATGGCACCGAGTGCCACCAGGATGACCCTACGCGCTCTGGGAATGGCCCTGGGTGCCCTGAGAATGACCGCAGGTGCCACCAGGATGGCCCTGCACAACCCAGGATGACCCTGGGTGCTGTGGGGATGAACCTGGGTGCCCCAGGATGGCAGTAGGTGTGCTGGAGATGACCCTGGATGCCACCAGGGTGGGCCTGGGTGCTCTGGAGATGAACCTGGTTGCCCCAGGATGGGAGTAGGTGTGCTGGGGATGACACTGGATGCCACCAGGGTGGCCCTAGGTACTCCAGGATGACCCTAGGTGCTCTGAGAATGGCCCTGGGTGCCCTGGTAACGACCACAGGTGCCACCAGGATGGCCCTGGGTGCTCTGGGATGAACCTGGGTGCCCCAGGATGGCAGTAGGTGTGCTGGAGATGACCCTGGATGCCATCAGGGTGGCCCTGGGTGCTCCAGGGTGACCCTAGGTGCTCTGAGGATGGCCCTGGGTGCTCCAGGATGACCCTGGGTGCTTTGCAGACAACCCTGGGTGCCACCAGGAGGGTGCTGGGTGCAGTCCCTGGAGAAGAAGGACGTGGCAGGGTGTGCCAGAGACCAGCGTGACTACTGCATGCCATGGGCCAGGGCTGAGTGCTGCCAGGGGGTGCCAGGCAGGGGCTGGGGGCTGGCAAAGGGCTCTGGCTGGGTGTAAAGCCTTACACCGCCTATCTGCTCTCCCCCTCCGCAGCCTGGGGCTGGTTCTGCCTCCTTACAGCACCTACTACATCCAGGCCAACCTCAGCGACCAGATCCTGCAAGTAAAGTGTAAGTAGCCCCCGGCTTTGCCCGCCGCCCTCTCGCACTCCCGCTCGCCCCCACACCAGCCCGCGACTGTCAGGGGGAAACACGAAGAGCAAAAAAGAGAGATAGGGATCACGATAAGAGGTCCAAAAAAAAAAAAAAAAAAAAAGAAAAAAGAGAAATTAAGAGAGGTGTGAGTAGAGGTGAAGGCACAGAGGGAAAGGAGCTGCCTGCCTGGGGTGCCCTGGGGTGCCAGGGTTTGGTCCTTAACGCTTTGCACCCCAAAACCCCAGCCCCGGCAGGCAGGCGCTGCCCGGTGCAGGCAGGGGCTGTGCCGCTGCCTTTTCACCTCCTGGGGATGAGGGATGATGCTGTAGCAGGCAGTTAATTTGCGAGCCTGGGAAAGTTTGCATGGATCTCTTTGATTTCCTTTGGTTTATTACGATTCTTTGGGTTTGGTTTAAGCCATTTATTCTTCTTTTTATGAGTTCGGTTTCAGTTGGTTTCGCTTTTCGTTTGGAATTAATCTGTGTACATGTGTGTTAGCCTGGCCCCCCCCTTTCTCTTTCTTTCTCTCTCCCCCTGACCCCCAAGCCTTTTTCCCACCGCAGGTCCACGCTGCTCCCGGGGACCCTCTCCCCCGTGGGAGAACCGGACCCTTCCCCTCTCCCCTCCGGTTCCCCCTGTTTCTCCCCCTCTGCTGCTCCGGCGGCTCGACCCCAGCCCCGCTCCGGATCCGGCCCCCGTCGCCCCCTCCATCCATCGCCAGGAGCCCCGCGTCCCTGCGGGGACGAGGCCAGGCTGTCCCCGTCCCCAGGAGGGGGGACCCTCCCAGTCCTCCCCGGCTCTGCCCGCCGTGCCGTGCATGTCCCCTAACTCAGTGAGGACATTTCGATATCAAGACTGTTGCAACTGTTTGCTACTGACTCTCATTTTCCGTTGGAGTATTGAATATATATATATATATTTCTCTAGTTATATCTTTGCTTTTTTTTTTTTAATTCTTATTTCACCGTGGCCTTTTGTTTTCCTTTCGTTACTGGGTTTTTCTTTTTCTTTTTTTCATGTCGTTTTTTGCAAGAGGTTTCCTTTTTGGTATGATTATGATACACAATATTTTTATTCAAACGGCGATTGAATAAAATATTGTTTGTGCCCCCCTTCCCCCTTTCCACCCAACCCCATTTTTTTTTGTTTGTTGTTTTTCTTGCTTTCTCTCTATGGTGGATTCACACAGTACCAAACATCAAAATGAAGGGCAAGTATTTTCAGTCTCAGACCACTCACCTTCACCACCCCGTCCCCTGCCCCGTGTCCAGTCCCCCCCCAGCCCCCCTGCTTCCCCATCTCCCTGCCCGTTTGCCACGCCGAACCTGCAAACCGCCACCGACTCGCCCTTCCTCCCTCCTCTTCCTCCTCCTCCTCCTCCTCTCCTCCAGTTCCTCCTTTATTTGAAAGCAACATGTCTTGTTCTGTCCATGAGAGCTTTGTCACGACGATCCCCCCACTCCCTCCCCGTGCATTGCTCCCAAACCCAGTTCGATATCGTTCAAGAGCCGATCTTGTATGAAACTCTGCCGTTTTCGATCCACGAGGTTTTTCGTAGCTA